CCTTAGATGGAGAAAAACTTTTTATTTTTTTCACACCTCTATAGGATGCTTGATCCTTCAAATAATAGATGTGTCTTGCATTTGTGGTGCTTATGGACCCGCAGTACAAGAAAAATATCCTATTAGAAATTATGCTTTAGGATGAGTGCTTGCCCACAAGTTGACATGATGGGTGGTCGATGATCCCGGTTAGATGGTGGAATAGGGTATGAGATTTTCTATTGAGTCCGACCACTAGTTGAGGTGCCTTCTCTATTAGGTAATGATTGTAGTGCCCCTTTAAGCAAATTGGTGAGATAAGAGATTTCTCCTTTCATAGCATCTAGCTCCCTCTAATGGTCTTGTCGTAACTATGCTCTCTCTTTGTCTCCATCAAGCATTGTTAAAGTTGAGCGTAGTGCATTTAGTGAGAGAGTTGAGTTTTGGTGGGACGACCTATATTTCAACCTTTATGTGAATTCAAAAAAAATATATACAATAAATATACAAGATACATGTATACATGTAGAATATGAATCGGGTTGGATACAATAGCTTGATGTTGCAAGTTTCGGATCATGATAGAGTTTGAAATGGGCAACGTCACAAAAAAAATTCTTGCCTTAATGGGTCAATCCTAGTGGATAGGATCTAACTTTTCTAACAATATTTAGGTAAATTTCTCTAGTTTTGAAGTCTTTTCAAGTTCCGAGATTGTCTAAATTACTAATGGGATAACCTAGTCTCTAGCCTTATGCAACAAGAGGTATGAAAAGAATATTCCATAATTTTTTATGCATAAGGTGAGTTTCAATTCAAATGGAAGTCTAGATAAGCATCAATGGATTTTCATCACACTTGCCACCTAAATCACCCTATCTAAATTGACAAGAGTTTTAGCTTGAGTCTAGAGCTTCTACAGTGTTTTTCTTATGATCCGTGTGCAACGAAGACCAAACAGATACATCCAACCTAGTTCACAATGTGCATAAAAGTAAATTGCATAAAAAAATTACTTGAAATTAAATGAACGATAGATAAATACTTAAAATTAAAATAGCAAATATAACTAGAAGAGATAAATTAAAAGAAACACTAAACCTATGGCCTAATTTTGAATCTCTAGTGCAATCATCATGCTATCGCAACCCAATATTTAGGAGACTTCTAAAAATTTTATGTTTGTAGAGGAAAAAGAATTAAGAAAAAGGTTTTGGAGTCATCACCTAGTATTAAATGTAACTAGAAAACCTAAAAAGAGTATTGGATTCAGAGATTCTAGTTAAAGAGTTGGTTTTGCTTTTGAAAAGATAAAAATCACTTAAAAACATCCTTTCCAAGAAAAGATATCGGGTTTAGTCTAATCCTATGAATATCTCTTAAAACTTATGTTTTTGCCAAATTATTTTACTAAATATATTTCTAAGTTTATTTATCACCTATTTCAAATTATTTTTTTTTGTTTGTGGCATTGTATTAAATTGGCGTTAGGCTCCAAGGTTGAGACTCACATCAATTTAGCATCGAATCCAATTTTATCTTGACACTATTGACATGTCGAGGAACGACCTAATTAGCTAAGAGTATTTTATTTGGATGTGGATGATAAAAAATTTCAAAATTAATTCTTTTATTTTTTATGATGATATCATATTAAATTGATGTTGGTCCAAAGATTGGGAGTCGTATCAATTTAGCATCGGGTCTAGTTGCGTCTTAACATGACCGACATATCGAGGAACAACCTAATTAAATAAAGGTAATCAAATTGATTTGTGTTTATCCTAGCTAATTTTTTTCTTTTTTTGATACTTTTTTATTGAGAGTTGAGACTAACATCAATCCTTTTTTTTTAAATAGGAGACTCATTGAGTTGAACTAATTTTTTTTAATTATCTTAAGAAGATGTGTTCTTTTCTAATTATAAACCGAGTTTGATATGAGATCATCATCGGTTCCTAGAACTTAGGAGACTTAATGATCTCACATCTTGCTAAATGAATTTAAAAGCTTTAATGAATAAATTAAATTATAAGCGAGACATAATGGAAAATAGCAAAATAAATCATGAACGAAATCTAAATTTAATGAAAATTTATAGACAACCGATTAGTATATAAATTCACATTCTCTAAAAATTTTAGATTTAAATGAGATTGGACACTAGACCAAAGAATTAAATTTTGATCCACACTCCCCAATAATTAAAATAGTGGCAGAATAATAAATGAACTTCAAAAATTACAAAATTTTAAAATAAGCTAAAACTAGATATGTGAACTAAACCTAAAAATTTTAGATTAAAATAAGATAGGAAATCATACCTAATAATTAAATTCCAAAACACACTCACATTAATGATTAAAATAATGACAGAATAATAAATAATTTGAAACATAATAATAAATGGACTCCAAAAATTACAAACTTTGAATAATAAGCTAAGGCTAAATATATGTACAAAACCTAAAAATTTCATAGTAAAAAACTAGAGCAAATAATTAAATTCTGATACAACCCTCACTAATATCTAAAATAATGGAAGAATAATAAATAAGTAGCAAATGGACTCATAAAATTACAAAATTTTAAAAAAAATATAAGAGAAAATATATGAAAAAACCCTAAAAATTTTAGATTTAAATGAAATTGGACATTAGACCAAATAATTAAATTTTGAAACAACTCATGCTAATAATTGAAATAATAGTAGAATTATAAATAAATTGCAAATAAATAGCAAATCGACTTATAAAATTACTAAATGTTTTTTTAAAAAATTGAGGACAAGAATATGTATGAACCCTAAAAATTTCAAACTAAGATGAAATCGAAAACTAGACCAAATAATTAAATTTTAAAACAACTCACATGAAATTTTAGCTTAGGGTTTAAAGGATGATTTAAGGGTTTTTTTTTTTTTTTTTTTTTTTTTTTTTCGGGATAGTTTTGGGGCTTTTTGGCCAACGACTTGGAGCTTTCATGAGGCTTTTTTGTGGGTGTTTTGAGGTGATTTTGGAGGCTAGACAATGGTGATAGCAAGGCTGGACAATGGTGGCAGTAAATGGGTGTTTTGGGCTGTATCTTATGGATTGATTTCTTATCATATGGAAGTTTCTTTTGGTTTTGAGCTCTCCATAAAGATTGTAGGTCTAGATGTGTTATTTATGTAGGATTTTGAATCATCACAATCTTATATATATCTCTCTAGATATAGTCCAAACACTAAGCGGTGTTCGGATTGTCATGAGATTCGAATTTTGAAACCGACTTGCATCCGACTTTTACGGATCAAACCATAATGGATTTATACATTTAAACTCAATATGGAAGGTTTAAGATATCTACTTCAAATCCTGAGTAAGGCAGCAAGGTCCACATGAGTGGCATGGGTACTTGTTGCTATAATGTTAGAAAATAGTAGGAAGCTTATTCATAATATTAAGCATGTTCTTGACTTGTCTCATAATTTGCTTGGCTTGGATCAATTGATTAAAAAAAAGTTATTATGTTGTTTTTGACAACCATGAATCCTTGATATATAATAAAAAGAGAACGAATTTGATTTACTCGGTTAAAATGACTAGTAACAAAATGTTTGCCATTGTATTTTTTTAGAGTTGCTCATAATGCTTTCAATACAACAAGTTATTTCATGCTTTAGAATAAGAGGTATGGTCATCTGAATTTTAATAGACTGAATTTATAGTAATAATATGCTTTCAAGTTTATCCACGGTTAATGGTGACAAATAATTGTGTGAAGCATGTACCTTTGACAAGCATCATTAAGAAATATTTCCAATGGAGAAGCCATAGAGAGCTACAAAGCCTTTAATGTTAGTTCATGCTAATTTTTATGGCTTAAAGTAAATAGTCTCCTTAAATAAAAGTAAGTATTTCATGATACTAATTGATGATTTTTCATGAATGTTATGGTTCTATTTTTTGAAAGAGAAATCGAAGTATTTAAGTACTTCAAACAATTTAAGGTTGTAGTTAAAAAGAAAGTTGTGACTTTTTGTACTAATCGTGGAGAAGAGTTCACATCAATAGAGTACACACTCGTTTTCTAATGATTTTGGAATTCAAAAGCAATTTACAGCAAGTTATACTCCTCAACGGTCAAATGCAAGAACACACTAATCCCTTGGACGTCAAAGAAGCAATTAAGCATAACTTTGTTAAGCATCGAAGTATATTATATTTTAGCTACAATTACAACTTGTCACGTAGTTTGGTAGAGAAAAATTTTAAAGGATTTGAAACTTAAGAAAAAAGAAATAACTATTATCTATTGTGACAACAAATGCACAATAGCATTTTCTAGGAATCTAGTTTAGTAAAGTAGGACAAAACATATCGAGACATGACACCATTTCATTCAAGAATTGGTTACTAAAGGAGTGGTAGAATTGAGGTATTGTAACATTGATGAACAACTAGCATATCTTATTATGAAACCTTTAGTGAAGAATAAATTCAAGAAGTTCAAATCGATCATGGAAGTTGCAACTTTTTGAATTAAAGAAAGAAATGTCAAAAGCAATTCAATGGTCTTATGTTTTCTTAGTTGTATAGTTATTTTTTATATAATAGAAGTTAGTATATGTCAAAGTGAATGAGATTCTTAAAAAATCCATATTATTTTTGTTAGTTGATTTAGAAATCAATGAATTTTATGGAAAAAAAGTACCCTTGTTTTCCTACAATTTGACAATTTTAGGTTTTTATTATCAATTTGTGTAATTTAAACTCTAAACTATCGATTTTTGAGCAAATGTTATCGAAATTTTTTAATTTCTATTATTTATAATGATCAACTTAATTTACCGTTATGCGAAATGCTTAAACAATATCCAGTTTTAATTTTTTTTTTTTATAAAAAAGTTAAAAAAATAAAATGTTCAAAATTAAGGGGATAAGATAAATGACATGTCGTCTGTCTTACCCCCTTAATTCTGATTCTGAATCAAGGAGAGAAATATAGCGAGAAAGTGATTTAAGGGACTTGGCCATCAATTATTTTCTCCCAACACCAGAAGGTAGAGTTTCGAGCCCTATATTCTCCATATCCTGCGTGAAAAGATCTCTATCTTCAACTTTTTTAATCGCATGCAATTTTGCTCCAATCAATTCAACATCATATTTCTCTGAAACCCCATTTTTTGCTAAAGCCAAAACAAGATTCAACGTTGTTTGGCCGTCCATGGTGGGAAGTATTGCGTCGAGACGTTCTTTAGCCACCGCCTGTTCATTGACCTCTGGCATCATTGGCGTAACATAACTGTGGTCAGCCATATCCGGGTCGATCATGATAGTGGCAGGGTTGGAGTTAAATCAAAATAACATCATATCCTTCCCCTCGCAAAGCCTTGCATGCTTGAGTATTAGAGTAATCGAACTCACAAGCTTGGCCAATCACAATGGATACAGCACCAAGAATCAAGATTTTCTTCAAGTCTGTGTGTTTTCCAGCTTTCCTATCCCCTATTATCACTCTTCTTTCTGATTCGATGGCGGTTGTTTCTTTGCAGATGCATCATCAAATGGAGGAGGACAAAGAGGTGATTCTTCTTGGATTTCTTTTGTTGTTGGCTTGCGAAAATAAGAGGCAAAAACAAATGGGTTTTGAGAGAGACAAGGACAAGGATTTGTTTTGGTGGAAGATCGAGAGAGTTTCAGAAGCAGTAATGGTTAAAGCAACAGATGTTGCTACTTGTTTTTTCTGGTTTTCTTTGTGGAAAACAAAGAGAAGGAAAATAGAATTTGAGGGAGGAAAATACCTAAATCACTCCAACTCTAGCAAAACCTACTTGTTGCGCCTTGCTTAATCCGTAAACATAGTGATTGGGGTGGGGGAGTGAGAGAAATGTGATCTGTCCTCCATTTTTTATATTTAACATAAGAAATCAAGCGTGTAGAACTTGCTATGGGCAGTTTTGTTTATGTTCAGTACTTTTACTTAACAAAGAAGAATTGAAGAAGAAATCTGAGGAAGAAGAAGACTAGAGAAGAAAATTTGGAATTGCTAACTGATTATCTAACAATAATTGCCAACTCATAAGCTAGTTATAATCACTACTAATTCCCTAAATAATGCCACGTAAGCTAGTTAAGTTACTTGCTAACAGCAAAAATAAAGTCAAAAGTAATTATAACCCTAATGACAACTATTAATACGTAACAATGCCTCCTCCTATAACATATCCTCGTACTTAAGGACCAAAGCAAAAATGAAAGCTAAATTCTTAATTAAGCAATAGCAGGCATGTCCTTGAGCCATGCATCCAGTGGCTTACCAATTGAATACACAATGAAACCGATCTCCCTCAGCTTCTCCACATTCACAACGTTCCTTCCATCAAACATGTTGTCATATATCCTCTTGTAATCTCGAGTCTTGAGTTCAAAAAACTTTTGGAAGCAGGACCTACCGAAACCAACACTAGAATTCAAAAAACTCGGGACCAATCCTAGTATCCTTGCCTACAGCTTAGGACACCTCGACAACATCAGCTCCAGTTGCCTCACAAGCTGACATGACATTAACAGAGGAAATCCTTCGGGCCAAAAAGGCATTGGCAGCAAGCTTGGACAGCTCTGCACACCAAAGGTTAGTGGTTAGGATGCGAGGTTAGTGGTTAGGATGCGATCTTCAGGAACCCAATGAGCATATACATCGTTCAAAGCTTGGATTGCCTTCTGGCCTTCTGGGGTTTCCCTCCTTCCAATGAGGACACGGTCAGGGTTGAATAGATCGCCAATCTTGTGCCAACCACGCGATCCAAACTGAAACCAATATATGGTTCAACCCCAGCCTCCAAAAAGTTCATTTCTAGCAACAGATTGCTAGTTTCTAAGCTCTGGCCTCAACACAATTGCCTTCTCAACCCATTCGTAGGACTGATTCACTAAATTGAGGTCCCAATCCACACCCAATTGCTGAAAGAACACTTGGTCAGCTCGCCATAAAATCCAGCATTGATGGCACTGCTGCCTCCAAGAATCCGACCTCCTGCATTGGATGCACCATCCTCCTACGTGAAGGCTTGAGCAAGTGACTCAAAGGTATCAGTTGGCGCATTAATAATCCTGGCGACATTTGGTCCAGCGATGACACCAGCATCCTTGGTGGCTTGCCTTTGGGTATCATTGAAGCATGCAAGAACAGTGACGATAGCATCCTTGATTTTCTTTCCAAGGAATACCTCAGCTGTTTCCTTTATCTTAGTCAAATCATAGAATTGATCTCTTCAGGAGAGAAAGCCTTAGTCTCTCCGTCGGTTTCCCATCTTTATCCACAATCTTGTATGGGACAAGTTTCATGTCCCTCTGGACTTCATTATTCTCAAACTTTCTTCCAATAAGTCTCTTGACATCACCTCATAAATGAGTACAGAGACATGCCTCACCCATTAGCCATATTCTCCACGCTACCATTTTCTTATTCGTTGATGGTTTTGTCCATATGTCAGACTTATGATGCACCACCCAACCACTTGTTTTGTAACCCAAGGGTTTTATGAATGGCTCATCAAATGAAGATGAAGCCACTAGATGCAACACAACCCAATTTGCACCTTTATCCTCCAACTTTCCATTGTCCACAACATGCACTAGTCCTGCACCATCACTAATCTATAAACCAAGAAAACAACAAGCCGAATTCCTTTTGGATCATCATTTGCCTTCACTTTTGGAGGAATCCTTTTTCCAAGGCAACTCTTTTCCATTACAATTTGACTTTCATCTGTTATGTAACAAAGATGATCTAACTTGTTGTCTAAAGATACCGTAAAGGATACGAACTTTGCTTTACTTCTATTAATCTTTATTTTTCTCACTTTCCAATCCATCACTCCTTAGGCTCCTTTTCTTTCTTTCTTTCTTTCTTTTTCTTTTTCTTTTTCTTTTTCTTTTTTTTTTTTTTTTTTTTTTTTTTTTGGCAAAAAAACAACTTCCAATAGGAAAATCAATTCTGGAAAAATTATTTTTCAGAAAATTATTTTCTAAAAAAAATATTTTATGATGTTTGGCAATTACATGAAAAATTATTGGAAAACATATTCTAGTGTTTGTTGGATACGGAAAGTCGAAATACAAAAACAGACTTGTGATTGTTATATCATTTTGAAGAAACTTCAATAAGTCATATTCATAATTTCATAATATAAGATACATTTAGAAAAATTTAATAAATTTTTATTAACACTAAGATTTAAATTCAAAAAATCAAAAAATAAAATGTGCATTTTTAACCACCAAATTAAAACTACTTGAGACAAAATGAAGTCAATATTCACATTTAGTGAAAAAATTTCTAGGTAATCCTAGCATTATTATGTTGGTAAATTAATTAAGATTTTTTTTTTAGAAATTGAATTGATAATTTAGTCTAAAAAATAGTTTTACAAATTATTAGTTATCATTTGTAGATAATTATTTATTTGGTTTTAAAAGATTAAGTTGGAATAATTTGTAACTATTTATTGACTACAATTATTAACAAAATTTTACAACTAATTAAAATTAGCCACAAATTATTAATTTAGTTGTAAATGAATAGTGTTAAAAAATGTATTTATTAATGAATTAATTAATTTTAAATTTTTCACAAATGATTGCGGTTTTATAATAATGATTTTCAATCACTTAAGTATAGTTTAGATGGTGTTTGAAATAATGGTTAAAAGAAATAGAGATAGATTATTGAAATATTTATTATAAAAATAATTTTAAGATGTAAAAATGGTTTTTAAGAATATTTAATGTATTTATAAATCAAAAAATCAAATGTTAGTAAAAATAAAGAAAAAATAATTAAATAATTAATAATAGTTGATAAAAAATAATTAAAAATTAATTTGATAGATTTTAAATAAAAAGGAGACGAGAGAAAAAATTGTTAAAATATATTAAGAAAGAGATGAGTAACGTAAGAACGAGACGACTTGTGAGAGATAGGAAAAATATTTTTCTCTTTTTTAACTCGAAAAACACTTTCTTAAAAATACTATATCATTTTTAGTTGACTTTTTTTTAAACACGAAACAAATATCGAAAAATAAGAAAAAATGAAAAAAATAAGTTTCTAAAACTTATTTTTTGCCGAAAGAAACAAAACCTTAGAGACTCCATTCTTCTTTCGCATCTTCCTACGCTTCTTTCAAAACGGTACCCTATCTAGCGTAACATCAATATTTGCATAATTCACCTTTTTATCAGTTCTCATCAACTTCTATTTTAGTGGATCTCCACTCTCTTTCACATCACAACTTTCCTCTTTCACATCACAACTTTCCCGCTTTCCAAATTCTCATTCCTCAATTTAGTTTTCTCATTCATGCCCTTCTTTTTAGCAACCTCGTCACTTTTTCAATTCTTTTCACTTCTTCCTCGTTCTCAATAAATTTTATATTTTTTCCTTTCCTTCAACAACCGCTTCATTTTTCTTGCCTATTACATCTTCTTTTTTACTAAACATTTGTAAAGCTACCCTAGGCATAGAAATATTTTTACGAGACTTCATAAATTCAAGTGAAAGAATTGACTCATCATGATACCTTAGGTGAACTAATTTATTTACATAGTTCACTCTTTTAGAGAAACTTATAGAGGATCATTGTTCTTTTCCTATGCCTTTCTCTACTAAAATTGATTTGATTGTCACCATTAAAGTTCGTTATATTTGCTCCTTCATTTGCTTCCACATTTTCTTAAAATTTCTACCACAAGCCTTGGAGTTGTTCATCCATCATGTTTCCTATTTTGCTCCTCCAAAGCTAACATCCTATCATTATCCACCATAATTAAATGTTAAATTGTTCACGATAGCCAAGCTTTGATATCAATTATTAAGTACTCTTATTTAATAAAGAAGAAGCTTTTATATCAATTATTAAATACTTTTATTTAATAAAGAAGAATTGAAGAAGAAATTTGGGGAGGGGGGGGGGGGGGGGGGGGGGGGGGGAAGATAATTTGAAATTGATTTCTTTTCACAACTCCAGAATTGAATAATAGCCGCTCTGCCTCTCTCTTTCTTATATATGGTATTGCTAACCGATTATCTAACAATAATTGGTACCTCATCAGTTAGTTATACTAACTACTAATTCCCTAACTAATGTCACGTAAGCTGGTTCAATTACTTGCTAAGAGAAATAATGTCAAACCAATTGTAACCCTAACGATAAAGCTATTAATACATAACAGTTTTCTTTCTCCAATCAAATACAATCTACAAAACATTCGTATCAGCCAATATTCACACCATCTCATACTTGTCATATGACATGACATCACAAACTAGGAGCTTCACCAAGATATGAATTAACAAAAATACAAAACATCAAGCAACAGAAAGCTCCAATTCACCACATCGAAAAACCCAGAAACATGCTTGCATATTTTCTTCATCAGTATTGTATGAACAAGGTAAGGGAAGGGAAGGGGATTATGTTGTTAAAACATCAGGAAGTGTTGCAGAATGAGCTCCAAGCACCTTGCCACCAACATCTGGGAAATTCTCAGATCCGGGAAGGGGACCTACATTCCCATCAGCATCTACCTGCAAAGGATACTTGAGAAGATGTCCTTGCAACGGTTTGAAGTTCGGATCTGTGAATTTCTTCCAGTTTTCCTCGGCAATGTTATTTACTTTCTTCACACAACGCAAATTCTCAGGCTCCAAGAAAAGTTCATTTATCCCACCAAGATGCTCCGCCCATAGTGACATTCTATATCCATAAACCTGCAAAACACATGTGGTCATGCAGAACACCTCCCTGAGCAATGGCTAAAAGAGGCCATAAATAAAAATTCTACTACAGCATGAAGAATGCCAAACAAACCTGTCCACGTGGGTGTTTCTTCTTTGTAGTCCATGTATAATGGGGTTGATATGAACCCATAGCTATCTCAGTGTCTTTTGATCCAGCCATGGATCTCTGGTTAATATTTGCAGATCCCACTATCACAAACTCATCATCCACTATCATTCCCTTTGCGTGGACGTAAATCATGAACCGCTGAAATTTAAAAGCATCGGAGACCTGATTGAAATGTTGTAATTGTGAACATTATTAGGAGTTCAATGCAGACCAAAAAAAAAAAAAAACCCTCCTATCACACTTCAAAGATAGCCAACACTACTGCTGCAAGATTGATATACTTCAAAGCAGTGTTCAATATCTACCATAAAACATTTAAAAAAATCAAGGCAAAACCCAATAATATACAGAACTATTATTATTATTATTTTGGGCTGCATATAAAAATCATTGATGTTGAGATCGTACTCAATTGACCAAAATTGAAAACACACATGCTGACTTGACCTGATTGAAAATTCAAGGACTTATTTGACAAATTTAAGAAAACACTAGGTGCAATTAGTGGACTTCACAAGAGCAAGGAATCAAAATAAATCTCATGAGGTGAATTTTTAAGGCTATATGAGTAGATGCCAATTTTTATTTCAGCAAAATAGAAGTAACCGCGCCTTAGAGAAGCAGGTCATAGGAGATTTCTTCCTCACCATTTTCAGAAACAGAAGGTAATAATAATTCTCCAATCATTTAGGCCACTAGACACTATTAAGAACTGAGATAGACATAAAGGAAAAATAGCCTCATAAATCTATATCCATAAACTTAAGAAAACATCAACACCCTATTCAACTTGGATAATCCACAATTTGCAAGAGTATGAGGCAAACAGGAGGGCAGACAGCTATCCAATATGCACTTCCAAGCCAAAGAGAAAGTGAACGAGCTATAGCGAAATTTCAAAAGGGAAAGTATCCATTTAATAGCTTCATTGCGTCAACATTTTATTATGACAATTGCCACACGGCTGACAATTAAAATTGAGAAATTGAACTGACTTTATTTAAACGAAAGTTTGAAGTTTCAAAGGCCAGAAATATCAGTTGCCATAAGCAACGTTTGGGCTATAACTAATCAAATACCCTGGACTGGTACTTTATAGGTGCTAAATTGAAGGCAAGTGCAGGGGCAGCTATAACAATAATAGATACATACCAGCCAGCCAACTATTTTATCTATAAGAAAGCAGGTGATACTATGATAAAATTCAAAAACCACAAAAGATTAAACAATTACCGGTCCACCATTAGCACTTGACAATTCTTGGGGAATTTCTTCCCGTTTGCCAATGCAATAGAAATTGAGGTAGTCTTGAGGATGTGAATCTACAAGATCCATTGATTTAAGTTCCTGTGCAATTTTTTCATACATTGCTTGCATTGTCTGGCTCTGCAAAGATAAACTTTTGATAGTTAGCGAGACAAACTTCATTGTATTGTTGCACTAGCTCAACAGAACTTCCTTGACATCTCACAGCAATCAAATCCAACTGTCTGAGAGAATCACTAAAACAAATCAACTCACAATTCAAGGCAATAGTGGCCAAATCAGTTTGCACCAATATTAAGAAGCTTCTTAACAAAGCTGCGTTAAGTTGCAGCAAAAATCTGAGTAACAGTTCTTATTATTATAAAAAATGAAAATTAAAATAAAAGAAAAATAAAGTATTCTCTGTTATGCATCTAAAACCACAATCATGTCTATATGAAGGATAATAACAGTAAAGGTAGCAGTATAACCGAGCAAGTCCCTTAACATCTCATCAGGAAAAATTGCAAATTGAAGGTTTAGAAATGAAGCACACCAAACCAATGGAACTGAGAGTCAAATACTTGTTATGTTTAGAGACAGAAACTGGAAACTTATTGTAGCTCCAAGACTGCTTAAGGTGAACGTATCCCATTTCACCAAGGTTAAGGCATATAAGAGGTACACAATGACTGGAATGGCTCAGGAATAATAAAAATGCCACAGGCTTCCAAATATACGGGTTGCTTCATTCTCAATGTTTGGACAAATGTATTGATCTTTCAAGTCAAAATAGTAATTAATACACTACCTGCCAAAAGAGAATTTCTTGGACGGTGCTAGTCTTTGGATCACCCTCAGGCCACATTGGTATAACAACATATACTGCAAACCTCTCCTTGGCTCTAATTTTACTAACAATCTTTAATGCCAACTCCATTGGGATTAGATTATCAGCTCCTGCACATCGTAATAATGGAAACAACTTGAGAACAAATGTGTGTAAAATGAAACCATATAGTTACAGCCATGATTTTTGTCGATGTAGCAAAATGTTACATTTGAAACAGCTTGATGGTGACATATGAAGCAAAGGTGAGCAAAACAGCATTAATGATGATAGTAGCTAATTAAGTAGCGACACTGATGCAGGGCAACTTAGGGGCTGTTCTGGATCTGAGTTTGGAGGCTGTTTAGGATTGTACACAGTGGGTAGATTTCTAGGAGTCGCACCTAAGGGGGATTGAGTCACAATCAAAAGCAAATTGCTGGAAATTATTTGATCTTATTGCATTCTCAATGTTGAAAGGCTACACATTGCATTTATAGAGTTGTAGAAGTCTAAATCCAATTAGGACAAGAATTCCTAAACCTCCAACATAATTATTCCTAATTAGAATAGAAAACCTATAACTATTCCTATTTTAGAATAGGAAAACTTAATAACTTCAGGACTAATAAAACACTAAAACGGAAATACTATAATTTCAGATTTTTCAGCAGATATGAAATTACTAAAATAGCCTTATTAATTACTGAAGTTCCCATCTAAGTTTTCCATCATGCCAAATCATGCTTGAGTATTGAAGTTATTCTTAGAATGTCTTCTAGAGGCCTTTGGGGGCTGCTGCCAACGTGGCCCATCAGATACATTAAGTGTTCCAGAATTTTGGATTTAGAATATTGAATTTGAACTTCAAAAATATATTAAGTATCTCATTTGATAACATTAATGGCTGATAGAATAAAAACAATTAATTTGTCAAGTTAAAGAGACCGACAAAATGCCATAGAGGTAGTAGGAGAAGATGTGTTATGAATTTTGGGAGGTATGAAATTCCTTATCAAGCAAAAGAACATCTCCCAAGATATAAATCCAAATATCCATGCAAAATTTCGTACATACAGACACTGCATCACCATGGGTCTCAACAAAGGAATCATCATACATACAAAGAATAACAAACAGAAATGGTATAATGAAAAATTGCATTCCTGACCTGCATCCTTATATGATGGCCATGCATATGAGGATCCAAGAAAATACTGATTTTCAATATATATGAAATGCTGAGCAGATCTGATGGCTTGTATGTATGCTGTTTGAATGCTTTTATCTACAACCAGATCCTTAGAAACAACTAGGTTCTGCAACACCAAAATAACATCAATAAAGTTACGTTAGCTTTAGCTTATATGAAAAGGAAAGGGAAAACAAAGGGTTCAACTTGCTGTAAACCTGATCCTGACACTCATCAATAGTTTTGGGAAATCCTTTCAACGATCCCGAGTCAATGGACCTAAAAATCTGCAAAAACATGAGTCAATAATGAATTAGATGATGATGATGATGATGATGATATAGAGTTGTAATCTAAAAAAAAAAAATTAGAAAAATGTGATGTGCAACCTGGACATGCCAATGTTCAGGGTCTTCTTCATTGGAAACATATACAGTGGGATCATCCCCTGGAACTATTGTCGTTCCAGCTTTTGTTTCAGAAAGGGGAGGACTTTGTATCCATGAAATCCGTTCTATCTTTATTAATGAGTCATCACTCCAATGAGATGTTCTTTTGAAACGCAGTCCCAACTCTTTCCACTTTGTTGCTTTCCTCCAACGCTGCTCAAAGTTTATAAGAACATCATATGCAGCAGGCCCATCAATTCTACAATGCAAGTCATGCCAAGGTTGCCTAGGTGCCTTAGTTCCAGCCTTTCATACACAAAAAATGAGAGATAAGGCCACAGAAGTGAAAAAGAGAGGGGGAGGCATGACAACACCAAAAGAATTGGGCAGAAGAATATCAAAAGTAAATAAACAGCAATTCAGAATATCTGGGGACCTTGTTAGGAAAGAGGATGACAAAGAAAATATTAATTGATGGATAGAGTCCATTGCAACCTAAACATCATGTCACATTGAAATTATAGGTACATTATATAGCAAGAAAAAAGTGAAGCAAGTTGCCATGGAAAACAAACTAAAACAGCACCATTTTTGCACTGTTGATCTGAATAGAAATAGCAGATACCAAAAGACTACCAAAACTAAAAATTAGTCATTTAATTTGTTTACCACTTACAGGAAATGTTGGATTGTGGAAATCACCCTCGAAGACAGTGTTGAGACCATGAAACAATCGATGCTCAGGAGTATCATACCGTCCATCACAGAGATCAATACCTCCAATAAATGCAGTTATCTTCCTGTTATTACCATATGCTTGTGTGTCCACAAGAACACATTTTTGATGGTGCGTAAACATGGTTCCAACAATCTGGAAAAAAACCATTGCACAACAATATATTGTTCAGATAGAATGCAAAGAATGACCTCTCCGATAAAACAGAATGTTTGAGCAACCAAATTCGTTCCAAAAACCAAAACTTACCAAACAATTTATTTGTATGTCTAAAGTGATGTAAAATAAAACCCATTTAACAAAAGGATGTGCATTGATAAAACAATCAACACACCTAGCTGCATGTGCTTCTTATGAGAAAACAATCAACTCAACAATGAAATCAAGCTTGCCTGTTGTTTGAGAAAACTCAGCTTACTGCTGGCATATCGAGGTGCCAACACACAAGTGACAGATGAATGCTTGAAGAACCTCCTGGTTTCTTCATCATGTGTTGCCATAACTCCTGCCTGTATCCAAAATAGCCATTAACAGCTAAAACTATTGCAGGCACCTTTCATTATTAAATACCACTACTGCTAAAAGCATTAGAAAAGAAATAAACAATTACCAAAAGAAGTTGCATATGCCTCCCTGCCATCACATTATAAATTGACATTAGATTTTTAAACTTTCTGACAAAATATCCCCTCTACTTTCCACTGAAATGAAGTGGCAACAATCACCTAGATTAAACAATTATCACTTAATTATTTAACAATCAATAGCTGATTAACCAAACAAAACAAACATTTTATATAGTAGGAAAAAAAAACCCCACATAATAATAAAACTTAAATAAATCAAAATCCTCACTTACTGTTTTAATCCCAAATTTGTCATGAGAAGTCCTATCATCCCAAACCAACAACAAAACTCTCACACCTTCCTCACTCTTGTACTTCAACAATTTCCCAAGTGTCAAATCCCCACCTCTTGGCAATGGCCTAGTTGGCTCCCTGACCAATTTAATCTTGTGAAAAACAGACCAGCCAACGATATAAATCAAATGATGAGCTTCAGATATTGCATAACAAATATCCTCCCAACACTTCTCCTGCTTATAGACCTTCCCTCCATCAATCTCAATCCCAGGCAAGTCATGATCCTTCGCATGAGCATCTTGATACAGTCTCACATGGCCGCCTTTTCGGACTGGAAAATAAGTATCTCTCACCCCTTTCACTTCAGGCTCACCTCCAAATCCATTCTTGTATAAAGGGTTTTTCTCAAAAGGTGTGAATTTCATTTCCAAATAAAGAGCTGTGTCAGGCTTTGGTGATTTCCCTGATGCATCAATTATAGGAAACCATTCCTTAATATCCTCTCCTGACACAACTGTTGATGCGGGTATCTTCGCAATCCCTATCAACTCCGCACCGAACAAATCATTATCTTTGACATGAAATTCAATATCTTTAACAGGATGAGCTAATGGGATATTGAACCTTTGCTCCCAAATGGGGTTTGTCGCATTCTTCAACACGCGCGTGCGAGCGAGGGTCACCTGAGGAACAACCACTGTGACATAAGCATCACTTGTGACTATGTTACGGTGGTGGCGGATTTTCTTATCGGCATCACGGGGGTGGCGACGGCGGCGGCGGTCACGGTGGTCAGCGGTAGTGGTGGTGGAAGTAGGGATGCAAACACTGAAGCATTGGCGGACATTTGTGGAGATAGCATCCAAGTTTGGTAAAGATCTGGCTTCTACTATGAACAAATCTAAATCGCCATGAAGGTAGATGAGTTGCTTGTGACTGGAATTTTCAGTCATTTTTTTGGGTGGGATTTATCAGAGATTTTGAAAAAGGGTCTAACCGAACATGAAGGATTTTGTGATTTTATAGGCAGGGAAAAGGAATTTTTGAGGGCGGAGACAACAAAGGAATAGTTTTGTTTCTTGCTTGTAGGGATGGAGTTAAGACCTCGTGACTGTTTGTGTGTTCATGTCAGATTAAGTTACTTCACTTTTTATTTACATGGTGAAGCTAAGAAAACTTTGTATTATATTTGAGTAGCTTTCTCAATATATGAAAAAATTTATTTCCCATGATACTTTATCAAGATTCGAAGTGAAAAAATTTGTAAGTTCTAACGAGGATTGGGAGCTAGTGATGAAGGTTGGGATTTTTTTGGAGGTGGGTCCTCCTCAGACATGATTTGAATCTAGAATTTTCAATGAGTAAAAGCGGTGGTTGGAGGATAAAGACCGGGGAGGCCATGGGACTGGGATGGTGTAATCGGTAATGCCAGCCGTTAGGGGAGCAATGGCAAATTGCATTTGCACGCAGAGAAGAGAGTTTTTAGGTGTTATAATAATTACTATACGTGTAATTAAATTGATAAGTTTAGGTTAACAATTAGATTTCCTAAAAATTGCAATGTGAAAAATGAATATGTTGTTGGCAGTTCAATGTTTAAATGGTGGCTGCTGCTTTTCAAATTCGAATCTAGTTTTTAAAAGAAATGAAAACTATGATGTATGGATCAAAAGCGAAACCATAAATTTGGGATTGGTGGCAAAATTCGGATGAATTTGAAAATAGATTAGCAAACAGAAAGCTGCATGGATATGATAATACATGTTTTTTAGGGTGCAAAACATGTATTTCCTTTGAAAATGATCCAAAAATACTTTGAAAACAAGAGGGGGAAAAAACCACGGGATTTTTCGGTTAAAATTTTGCATCAATGTTTCATAAAATAAATATATGAATGTCAACCTTTCTTGGAAAAAGTGATAGTATTAGATTCCCCGCTTCTATCTCCATGTATGCAAACAAGAAATTGGATTCCCTGATATCAATGCAGAAAGGAAAACGAAAAGTGAGAGTACCAAACTAAAGGCATAAATTCTATAAAGGCCAAAGGTAGTGTATGAAAAATTGAGAATCCAATACCGTAATGGAAAAAAAAAAAAAAAAACCGTGCGGTTTATTTCAAAGTAAAAAATCCAATGCTTGTTTTAGTCTTTGATCTGCCTAACATCATTTTGTCTCTTATGGGCATGATTTATGCAATCCTTGCCATTGTTTCCATTAAAACTGTTTTTACCAATACCGTAAGTGGTAGATTTCAAGCTTTAATACCCATAAAATGTTGTTCATAAAGGTTAAAAAAAACATAAATGACCCAAATTATACAACTGTGACCTCTCTAATCACATGCCAAGTTTCTTTAATCCCAAACCATGAACTTCATTATTGTTGTTTTATCCCTTCTTAAAAAAAAAAAAAGAAGAAAAAAAAGATAAGATTATCATTGTATTGTTATGAAATGATGAACGTCTATTTCATATTCTCACTACTCATGCGATTCAATTTATAATTCAATATGAGAAATTGAGAGGATGATGCAATTGATTTAATTGATTATGCACTTTTTAATTATTCATAATCTCTTCTAATTCTCTTTCTAATCTTGAAGTCTACAAATAGGCTTGATTTATTAATTTGAGTATATATGTTTTGTAGAGATTTAGAAAATCATTTGGATTATTATCTCTTGTATTTACTTTATGAATTCTCTATTATATTTCTCGTTAATTCTACTATTATTACCATTTCTTTTATAACATGTTATTGGCATGAAACTTTAACCAACCACGATAATAGAACATGAGATATGTATCTATCAAAAAACAAAAAAAACAAAAAAAAACAAAAAAAAACAAAAAACAAAAAACAAAAACAAACCGAATCATTTGTTTCAATCATTAAATTATTTTTCTACACGAAAATTCTACCAAAAGATCCAAATTACTTTATCATTAAGATGTATGTATCAAATTTATCATTTACTTTAAATCTAATGACCTAATATATAATGTTTAAAAAATTTAAATTTTATTATAATATTTGTTTTTATTTCCTATTATTATTATTATATCTTTCATTATAGAATTTTAATCATATCAAACCTCATAAAACATGTGTAGAAAAATAATCCAATAATTGAAACAAATGATTAGGGTGTTTTTATAAATCCCACTCAACTAGGTCCACTCCGTTCACTCGAAGTGAATGTGACAACTTAAAATAATTTTAAACATGGACGAAGATGTAGACATAACAACGATCGTGTTGAAATAGTTATTATTATAATCATGACGACCATAATAATACGTTTCATCACCAAAAATGGATAAACTATGAAAAAAAAGAATAAAGAATAAAAATGAACCAATTTAGCATTTTGAAAATGAATGTTATAAATGTGATATGAAAAGACATTGGTTGCATGCTTATGTACACAAAAGCATCTCGTTGAACTTTATCAAGTCTCGTTGAAATAGAAAGAGTAAAATATATAAACTAATATTATATATAAAAATGATGGTAATTGAAAGTAATAACTTCTTAGCTTTTTTATTTATAAAAAAGATGTTTTATTTTTTTATAATTTTTATTGCATAGTGATAGTTTCAAATATATTTGCTATATAGTTATTTATTTATTTTTAAGAAGAATATATTTATTTATTTTATGTTAATTTTATATATAATAATATCAATCTAACAAAAAACTCCAAAAGAGCCATTATATTATTACCTAAAGAGATAAATTTTAAAGACTCTAAAAGAGTGAATACATTATTAATTTAAGTGATAGAATTTAAAGGCTCTAAAAGGGAAAATACATTATTATCCGGAAGGATAAATTTTATTATAAATGATGCATTATTCTATTTAAAGTCTCATAGAAATTTGTTGAGTTTCAAAGATATTCAATTAAATGGACATCATATCAAGATAACAAATATGAAAAATATTGAATACTTAAATATTATAATTATTACATCGAGTAGAAAATATTTATTGAAAAAATTACTCACTTTTTCTTTTAGTCTTTATTATAAATATTTGAATGATTGAAATAAATACCATAGTAAACCGGAATAGGCATCTATTGAAGAGTCAAAAGATTCTTCAATCTATTGAATTTTTATGTTATGCATATTTTCAAAACAAACTATTTATTAAGCTATCACCAAGTAAAATTGAGATTGAATCTCTAGTTTTTTTTAGAATATATTCAAGGTGATATATGTGGATAAATTCATTCATCATATGGATCATTTAGATATTTTATGATTTTAATAGATACATCCATAAAATAGTCATATGTATTCTTATTATATACTCAAAATCCGATATTTTCGAGGTTGTTAGCTCTAATAGTTCGATTACAAACACAATTTTCGGATATGCCATTAAAACAATTTTCCTTGATAATACTAGTAAATTTATCTCTCAAGCATTAAATGATTATTTATTAGCTACTAGAATCAAAGTTGAACAACATGTTGCTCATATTTATACTAAAAATAGTTTAGCAGAATTATTTATCAAAAGGCTCCAATTGATAGGTAAATCAATACTTATGAAAATAAAATTTCTTGTTTATATTCACGGACATGTAGTAACACTTATTCGCATCGGATCCATAAATTATTAGAAATTATTATCTATTTAGTTGGTTTCTAGTCATGAGTCAAATATTTCTCATCTAAGAATTTTTAGTCGTACAAGTACATATTGTTAATGCCCATCCACAACGAACAAAAATAAATCCTCAAAAGAGATTGAAAATATATTAGATTTGAATCATCTTCAATAGTTAAATATCTTGAGCGATGAAAAAACAACATTTTTACAACTCAATTTTTTGATTGACATTTTGATGAAATAGTTTCTCCAACATTAGGAGGAGAGAATAAGAAAAATAAGCGATTGAAAATGTTTAAAAAAAAAATTGAATAGAGTACTCTATCTTTACATTATCTTAATCCTCGCATAGAAATAATGCAAACTAGAAGTTTAAAAGATAATTCATTTATAAAATCTTACAAAGCAACTATCGGTTATATTCTTAAATTAAAAAAAGAGTAACTAAAACGTATGTCTCTACCGAGAATGTTCTTACTAGAATTGATGTTCTAGAAGGACAATCTATTAATGTTATAGCAAACGAATCTAAATTACGTCTACGCATGAAAGATCGATCAGTTCCGGAAATAAAAATTCCCGAAAGAAAATGGCAAGTAATCAAGATGAAAATATAAAGGATGCAAATATTCATAAACCGGTCCAAGATATTTCTAATAATAGGCTTCTAAAAAAGGTTCAAATACTTGAGAAAAATCAAGAAACTTTGATAAATTATGTTAATACAAAAAGAAAATAGGATTGAAAAAAATATTTATTGATAAAATTTTTACATATAATATTGCAATTGATATTTTGAATGAAAATAAGGATCCTAAGCCTAAATTTATTGAAAAATATTGACATAGTGATGATTGGCCTAAATAAAAAGAGCAATCCGAGACAAAATTATATTCTCTTACAAATGACTAGTTTTTGAACCCATAGTTAAAACATCCGACGATGTTAAGTACGTAGGATACAAATGACTATTTGTGTAAAAAAAAAAAGAAAAAAGAAAGATGACATTGTGAAATATAAAACAAGAGTTGTAACATAAGATTTTTTGCAAAGATCTAACATTAACTATGAGGAGACATATTCTCCTATAATGGATGCAATTATATTTCAAAATCTCGTTAGCCTAACAAAATATATAAAAAACTTCATATGGATGCATTTAATGGATGTGATCAAAACTTATTTGTTCACTTGAAAATGATATTTATATAAAAGTCCTAGAAGAACTTAAGATGCCTAAAATATGTAATAGACATTTTCAAAAAATATATTCAATTAAATTATAGAGATCTTTGTAACGATTATTTTAGTATTTGTTTTATTATTTT